CATGTTGACATCACCTGAAAATCTAACAGTTCAGACAAAGAGAATGACACAATAAAAAGCTTTAGATCAGCATTAAGGTCTCCTGTTCCCCAGCTTTTATTAGCAGGATGTTATACACAGTTTAATAGGACATTACAAACACTTGCTTTGGCTTAAGCAGAGGAATGAAATCAGCCATTTCACTGACTAATAGCATGCCACAAAATGACTGAAAGAAGAATATGCCTTTTCAGACCATTCTTTCGCTATAAAGGAAACCAAACTTACTGAATGATAGGTAGTATAGGTCTTGAGGACAATAGAGTACATGAATGCTTTTGCTTAAAATGAAATAAAAAGGGCCTTTTTGTGTAATCCAGAATTAATGTGAAATTGGATCACACAAATCAAAGAACTGCAGTGCATACAGCCATAAATGCACCATCTGTGCACAGCAGACCTCAGAACGGAACTTCTGAGTCTATGGATTATATGGAGTAATATTTTGCATTTCTTTGATTCATATCGTTTGGTGGTTTCCAGAGTCTAGCATTATACTACATCAGAATCCAAACTCAGCTCACAAGGTTAAGTCTATGAAAACCACTACATATGGTTACTTCTTAACCGCCCTCAGCATAAAATCTCCATGCAATTCAAATTATGTCAGTGTCACCTCAAACAACATCAAATATGATACAGCTAAGTAAGTAAATTAACACTATGCCTGCTGCCACTGCCTTCTCCATAGATTCACTGCATAGAAAGTAGTAAAAACACTGTAAGGTAGATTATAAATACTGGATATGGTGTAGAAAAAAATTTAATAATGGAAAACTGTTCTGCGGATGTGAAGTACAACCTGCTGCTGAATCGTTTATGACTTCTCTTTTCCTCTGCAGTACATCCAATATAAGAAAAACATCCTTGGAGAATGTGCAATCTGAAATCATTCCAGCTTTCTTTAAGGCAACAAATTCCAGATCAATCAAAGAGGATCTACGTTCAAGTATCTACGTGTCTGAGCAGTTTAGGATCTATCAATTGTAAACAGAACAGTTGCAACATCCAGAGAACAGTCAGACTAGCAGCTCAAACAATATTATTTTAATAAGCATAATACTAGTAAAGAAAACAGGACAAAAATCTATTGAGTACTACTCATGATAAAACTAAAAAGCAAAAGGACTGAGATAGAAATGGTTTGATGTTCCTGAGATTCTGAGATTCCAACAGAAGAGGGGTGGCCAGCAGGAACAGGGAGGTGATTGTTCCCCTCTACTCTGCTCTTGTGAGGCCCCATCTGGAGTACTGCATCCAGGTCTGCAGCCCCCAGTACAAAAAAGACAGGGAGCTGTTGGAGAGGGTCCACAGGAGGGCCACGAAGATGATCAGGGGACTGGAGCACCTCCCCTATGAGGACAGGCTGAGGGAGCTGGGCTTGTTCAGCCTGGAGAAAAGAAGGCTGCGGGGTGACCTCATTGCAGCCTTTCAGTACCTAAAGGGAGCCTACAAACAGGAGGGGAATCAACTCTTTGAAAGGGTTGATAACAGCAGGACAAGGGGAAATGGTTTTAAGTTGAGGGAGGGGAGATTTAGGTTGGACGTCAGGGGGAAGTTCTTTACTGTGAGAGTGGTGAGATACTGGGAACAGGCTGCCCAGAGAGGTTGTGGATGCCCCATTCCTGCAGATGTTCAAGGACAGATTGGATGGGGCCCTGGGCAGCCTGGTCTAGCATTAGATGTGGAGGTTGGTGACCCTACATATGGCAGGGAGGGTGGAGATTCATGATCCTTGAGGTCCCTTCCAACCCTGGCCATTCTGTGATTCTGTGATTCTGAGAATGAACAGTGCCTTTTACTCCATGACAAAGTTCTCTCCAGATGACCAACTGTACTGGTTTTGGCTGGAATAATTTTTTTCATAGTAGCTCATATGGTGATGTATTTTGGATTTGTGCCCAGAACAGCACTGATAACACATTGCTGTTTTAGCTGTTGCTGAGCAGCACTTGCACCACACTAAGGACTTTTCAGTTTCTTACACTGCCCAGCTAGCAAGTAGGAAGGGGAAGGGCACAAGAAGCCAAGAGGGGGCAGAACAAAGACAGCTGACCCAAACTGGTAAAAAAGGATATCTCATACCATATGACATCATGCTTAGTGAAAAAACAAGTGGGGGTAAGGAGGAAGTGGGAACATTCAGAGTCTTCCAAAGTAATGACTACATGTGACTGGAGCCCTGATCTCCTGGAAACAGCTGAACATCTGCATGCCGATGGGGAACAATGAATGAATTACTCATTTTGCTCTTTTTGCACGCACAGCTTTTGCTTACCTATTGAACTGTCCTTAACTTAGCCCACAAGTTCTCTTGTTTTTACTTTCACATTCTCTTCCCCATCCCACCAGCAGGAAATAAGTGAGTAGCTGGGTGGTGCTGAGCTGCCTACAGGGCAAACCCACAGCACTCAGCTCAGACATACGGCGCTTTGTATGAAGAACTGCAAAGCAGTGATTGCTGCAACAGAAAAGGAAGCTGATCAAAAAGTTTTTTTAAAAAGCTCCATTTGACATTTCTGTTCATAAAAACTACAGAGCATGGAGTCTTTGAGATACTTTTTTATTCTAAGTGGTTTACTGTTTTTTAACCTCTTGAAATTACTTTTGGTGCAATATCTCATGTGTTTGGGACATAAAATAGAGACAATATTGTTCTTACTTTCTATCTCCTTCTGTTATTTACACTGTGCAATGTAAACAGAAAAAAAAAAAAGAAAAAAAAAACACTGCTAAACATTTCTTGCTTTTTGGCAGTTTCCCTGTTACCATTTTAATTCTGCCACATTATTCTCATGGATTTAATTTCCCCAGATGAATGACCTACCATATTAGAGTAGCCAGATTTCTCCACAGACTTAAGAATTTTAAAAAGCTTGTCATGACAGTCTCCCATATAACATATTTTTTACTTTCTGGTTCTTTCAGTTAATGTTAAAATAAATATATAACATGAAGCATTCAGAAACTAAGGCTTACAGTTCATAAAACTTTAGGAATAAAGTTGAATATAATTTCTTGATGGCAACTCTAAATTTCAATTAATAACATGAATTTTCTTAACTTCATCAATAATAAAGATCAGATTATATTTATGTTCACCTCTTAATAGCCACTGAATACAGTAAAACTGTAAGCCTTTCCAGAGCTACTGCTGAGAACAGCACTGGCATCACAGCATACATAGGTTGAATAGATGGCCTATCCCAATGTTTGAATTCTAGGAGGTGCTAATGTTTCCCTTTAACAGCCCATCCGACCAATCAGCCTTTGATGACTGGGCATCCTTTTCGACATCTCCACCAAAGTTCATGTGAGGTATACGAGGCTAGAAAATTATTCTGAGGACCCTTTAACCTTCAAGAGCATATAATACATATAAATATACTCTAAGCATGCTTGTACATTTAATTAGGGAACACTTGTATTAGTAACTAAATAAAATAGAAAGTGCTCTGATAGAGCAGTCTGCTCAGCAGTGTTGATAATGATCAGCAGAATGATTCTGGCTTCAGGCATGAAGTCCAAATTCTTCTCTTGTTAAACATTATAGTGTCCATGTTTTTTATATTACTCTGGTTAGAGTAAATGCATAGTATGTATCTGAATTATATATCTGTATCTCTATGTTTCCATCTCTGCATGCATAGAATATAAAAATATTTTCAGTTATTATTGATGAGATTAATAAGAGAGCTGTTGGTTTGTTTGTATCATGCCATTATCATTCCATTTCCCCAGCAAAACTGCAAAATTAAGGAGAAGAAAAAAAAAAAAAGGGAAAAAAAAGAGACACTTCTTAGCATGAAGTTAAGCTGCCAGGTCTAGTACCGAATTTCACAGAAATCATGCATATAATGGAGGAGCACTTGGAGCCACTAAATGAATCCATCAGCTGAAATCAGAGCAAAGGGCAATAGGCAGAGTAAGTGAAACAAAAAGGTTTAGATTAATTACAATCAATTTGTCCTCAGATAAGGTTTAAAAATAGGAAATAAAATATGGTAGAATTCAAGAGGTGAGGGGAAAATGATTTTAATTATATTGGCTGTAAAAGATAATATAACTATCTAACTTCTTTCAAGCTTGGGATATAAATATTGTTGAAAAGGTTACAGCTAGGCAGGAAGAGGAAGGCTGCCAAACGATGCTGCTCTTGCTGCCAAATACCAAGGCAGGTGGAGGCCTCTGGAGAGAGAGGATATCATTTCCATGGAAACACATGAGCAAACTCTCTTTTTTCCCTCCCTAACATATTTTGGTTCCTATTCTATCTTGTTTAGAAGGAAATTAAATTTATTTAATTAAACAGTTTTTACTTTTGTGTTCCAGTAAAGTGCAGCTGCAGAGCTTGAGAGCCTCAGAGTGACTTTTCACATAATTGCATCAAGAAAGAGGAAGGGAAATTCTATCTCCATCCCCTGGCCAAGCTTGGATCCCAATACATCAGTGTTAAAAGAGCCATAGTTTCAACCACTGCTGAGTAACACTAAGATAAACAAGCAAAGAAAAACACCTTATTCTAATGACAAGAACTCAACAAGAAATTGAGGAACCATGAAAAGACTCAAATCATCACACAAAGTTCTCACCATCATCCACTAACATGCTTTGCTGAGCCTTGTTTTGGATTGCAGACATTCTGTTACCAAGTGAGCAGCCAAAAACACTCAGGTACAGCACAATCACTATGATTCAACAAATCTCCAAGCACATGGACAAATTCTGTCACACTGCAACTGTTATTTTCCATGATTTCTTCTTATGAGTGAAGAATGCACATTGTCTGTGCCCATTTGAACACAGTAGGCAGCTCCTCAGCTGCTTCTGGTGAGGGTTGTTTCAATAAACCCATTATATTTTATAGTATACAGGATAAGATAAAGCTCAAAAAGAAAAAAATAAATTTGTGGCATAAATTCAACAGATCTTTTCAGTGTAAGTGTTGAATACTTTCTTACCTGTCTGATGTTGTGTCACTTGTTACTTGGTGCTTTACTCCAGAACCATTCTTAATCGAGTCTTGCCTGGTGAGTCCTTGAGATCTGTTTTTGTCCAAAACTTGTGTGGATATGTCACCTGGTGGTCCTTGGTACTGCAAATGCTCTTGGAGCTTTGCTTTTTTCTCTTGAGGTGCTTCCTCGTTCCGCAGACCTCTAGTACCTTCTTGGTCAGGCTTCTGTGGTGCGTTTGATCCACTGTTATAGAACCAGGCTCCTGATTTTGTGAGGATTTCTTGTTGTTTTCGGCACAAGTTACATACCCACATTACCTGTTTAGACATATTTAAATGGAAAATCTGTTAGTTTGCAAATACTGTAGAAAAATTTTCTTCAAACTTATATTAACAGATTACTGTCATTTCCAAAGGTATAAATAATCCTTTTCTAACTTTATTATAATTACAATAGCTTATCTTCAGCACAATGTCTGTACAATGTTCAAAGAAATTGTTTTAAATATACATCTAAACACACACAAAAAAAACCCTTTCATACTATCTTTGCTTCATTGTTACAGTGCAAGAGAATGCCATACAACGCGACAGATATAAAAAAAAAAAAGCATCTACCCACTTCAATGGCAGTAAATTTGAAAATCAAGTCTAAAGTTCGAAGATAACAGAAAAAAAGAAAGGGATAAAAAATTCATTAAACACTTTTCTTATTTATTAAGCTACTTTCTTATTAAGTCAGAGTAAAAACTTTAGAATAAATCCTCTGCTTGTTTGTAACAAGTAATTTTATAATCCTCCAAATGTTCTGCTGTGGTCTGCTTTTTATTTTTACATGAATCGGCTGACTTCAAGATTGACTTTATTTTCTAAGCTATTGTAAATTAAACAATTTTATAAATAAAATAACACAGTATATACATTGGTGAGTCTCTCCATAGCTAAGAATTAGCTTTCACTGTACGCCTTAAGTTATTAAAATGATTCTGACTTCCTAGTTGTGAGATCCTGCACTTAGTAATGAGATTTTTAATATTCTAAAATGTGTTCATTTGCAATGCTCACCTTAGACACATGACTGTGCATATAACTGCCAATGCCAATTACTTTTAAGTCAATTTCACATTTAATTCTTACATTACAATAAAATATATCACGATGCAATGAATAAAATGTAATAGGCAAGTTATTAATTTAATGGCATATTCAGATTGGTTATCATACTATCTTAAAGTTTTGATTATATATACGTAAAATTAATTCACCACATTTTTAGAATCACAGAACCATTTATGTTGGAAGGGATCTTTAAAGGTCATGTAGTCCAACATCCCTGCAGTGGACACCTACAGTGAGATCAGGTTGCTCAGAGCCTGGTCCAGCCAGATCTTGAATGTCCAATAGTGGGGGTTGCCATGACCTTGCACTTAGTTTTGTTGAACCTCATGAGGTTCATCTAGGCCCACTGCTCAAGTCACTGTCCAGGTCACTCTGGATGGCACCCTGTCCCTCGAGCACACTGACTACACCACACAGCCTGGTGTCATCTACAAACTTGCTGAGGATGCTCTTGATCCCACTGCTGATTTCACTGATGAAGATTTGAAAGAGCTTAAGTCCCAGTACAGACCCCTCATGGACACCACTCATCACTGATCTCCATCCAGACATGGAGCCATTGACCACTTTAGCACTTCATTCCTTAATTTTCATTTTTCTTTATTCTTAACTTGACTCTTTTGTTCTTTATTTATTTTTTGTCTTACGTTTACTACATATTCCTTCAATGTCTACACTCAGCCTTCAATGCAGTTATCACGTCTCCAGTTCTAAGCCAATACTGAACTGTCTCTTTTTCAAATGCTCACAAAAGGACATTCAGTGGCTTAATTTAATACTCTTCATTATTCTTTTAAATGATAGATGGTTGAATTACATTGAAAATTTAGCTTCTGCCTCCATAATACATCTGGTTCTGCCCACCACAAAAGGATTCAGAATCTGTAAGCTGTATCTTACTTTCATTCTCCAGTAAGTTAATTAATAGAAAATTTGGGCCAGGCTGTTGTGTCAAGACTCATCAAAAATGTTTTTGGTGAAAGTTCTTACTCAAATTCACTGATTTCCTTATCACAATCTGCTATGCTAGGAGTAGTGTACTTGCCAGCGTAATGGTGGCAATATGCCCCATCCTGGCAAGTATCTCTCCTAACCTTTTATAGCACTGATACTCCACTTTTGAGAACTCAAGTCAGCTTATTTCAATGAGGCAGAACAAGTTATCTAAGCACTGACAGGGTAAAAAAAGCAAGGCTCCCTGAGCAGCTGGCTGTCTGAAGTGGTCTAGATTTCCCTTGAAGGTCAATACCATGCATGCTTCAGGCCTGGCCATCAGTCAAATATAAATGTCAGAGCAGGTCTATTTTACTTTTGTGAATTGCTAATTTAGGAAGAAGACAAAATCTCCAAAGTTAATCTTCCACACCAAAGACAGAAGTATTTTTGCCCTCTTTAATAAGTTACAATTAAAAGCCTTTAGCATTTATGCATGTTTTTTTCATTGTTGAAAGAAGCTGTAAAATTTCCATCTATGTACTTGTGTAATGAAAGGACCTGCTCCAAAAGTATAAAAATATATTACAACTTGAATCACTACCAGACAAAATCCCCCAAAATTTTAATCATTAATTTCCTTCTATTACTAGATATTGAAATGTTACAAAAACTAGATAACACAGTCTAAACACTTAAGCAACCACGTCCTCATCTGTCAGTCACATTTTTTCCCAGGACAACACACTCTAAGATGACCAATATTATCCTCCTGTACTCAACAAAATGATAGGCCTTTCTGAATGAATACAATTTAATAGCTCTTCCTCTAAGAAAAGAATTACAAGAGTCCTCCTGATCTACCTTCTTCCGTAGGACACACAAAATGTAGTGACCTGTTCCAATATAAATATCAGCTGCTGCCAATCTGGGTAGCTGATGATGTATATCAGAGCAGAGCAGTGCAATTGCTGGTGCCAGGAGACTGGCATGAAACAAGCAAATGCTTTATGAGAAAAGTTCAAACAAGCCCAGGCTATGTAAAAGCTATTGCCTGTCTTAGTTGTAGGTGTCATTATTGTGAGTATCTTTGTTGAAGATATCTGATATTTTAATGTTCATCTTTAAAGCCTGGAAGCTGTTTTTCACTGATTGTCAGTGACACTTCATGGAATTCACCATGTTATATCCCAGCCCTACTGAAGTCAAACTGGCTCTTGCTGTTTCCACCATTCAATATTTCTTGCGGAATACCAAAGTAATTTGGTCAGACCTACAGGAAATAACAGGAGCACTTAAGCTGAAAGCACTTCATGAAACATAATGAACATTTTCAAAAATGAAAATTTACCTAAGGCATTCATATTAGAAAAAAATAAATAAATATAACATTGTTTTATTTGGAAAAGACCTCTAAGATCATCTAGTGCAACTGTCCACCTACCACCAGTATTGCTACTAGACCATGTCCCTGAGTAATACATCTAGCCTTTCCTTAAGCACCTCCAGGGATGGTGACTCCACCACCTCCCTGAGCAGCCTGTGTCAATGCCTAACCCACTTCTTCCCAAACCAGCTGCAGGCAGAGATGTCCCCTGCTCCAGTCTACCTAACACATCTCAGCAACATTGTATTCTGCTGCTTGGCTTGCACTAATGACACTCTCTGAAGCCCCTTGGTGCTGCAGAGTGGTGTCTCATGTTGCACAATGGGCCTGGGTTGTTTTGGGAGCCTGCCCCTGTTCTGAACCTGATGAGACAACTCTCCTGCACATCTCTGGGATGGTGCTGCAGCTACATGCAGAGGAAGGTGTGCTGCTGGATGCACACAGACACAAAGCCTACTCTGAGCCTGCTGCTTTATGATGCTGATCTTTCTCACTTGCTTCTCATTCTTCTACACACTGATGCACACTTCTGTGCTGTTGACCCAGGCAGATATAGTTTTAGCTTCAAATAATTACAAAGAACAAGCAAAATGACAATCATCATGCTCAGAAATGTATGTATTGTCAATGCGCACTATGAAATCCAAATTCTGCACCACTACAGGGTGCAACAAACTTCTCCATTCTATCAGAGTGTGTAGGACTATTTCTGCCATGTAAGGAATACCAGTAATTTACAGTGCAGACCTCTCAACTATGTCCGCCATGCATGTAGGAGCAGAGAGAACAAGGTGGCACCTGCTGTGTGGGACTTCTCCTTCTGCCACCAGGACTCACTGAGGCACCTGCCCCACAGCAGCTCCCAGGTCTGCAGAGACATCCTGCCCTGATCAAGGCCCAGCTGGAGTTTTGTGTGGCTGGGCCAGACACACAGCAAGAAAGGGAGATCCACGAGTGGATCTTGTGCTAATGCTCACATTTTGACAGTTCTGCAAGGGAGAACCACAAAAACCTTACCTCTGAAACAGCAATTTAAAAAAGGTTAATCCTTTCCTCAAAAACTTTGCATAAGGAAGCAGGCACACTGCCTGCTACACCCATTTCCAGTTCTCCACCACCACTCTGAAGAGCTCAAAAGTCTAAATCACAAAGCATCATCAACTGTGCACAAGTTGCATCTTGGAGCATCAATCCTCAACACCAGAACAGGTCCAATTCTAAAAAGAAAACATGGAGCAAAGCGTGCTCTTCAACAGCTCTAACAGACAGACAATAAGTAACAGTTTAGAGACTGAAGTGCCTGCAGTGCTGACGCACATTTCAATACGAAAGGCTGACCCACCACCTAGTGCCTGGAATAAGAACTGCTGAAGCTCTTTTCAAATACATTTCTCCTGGAAAGTGCAAAAATAATCACACAAAATATATCTATCCTGACATTTTCACATTAACTCTTAATATTTTTTCTTTTTCAGACAAATACCTCTTCTTAGATACAAAACTTTGTTTTTGAAAAGACATATTCCAAGTTTGGATTCAACAGATTTATTTCAAATCTTCTAGCTGCTTTCAGTTCACAATTATTCTATACAGAGAAGGAACAAATTTTGTTTTTTTTGATTTCTTGATCACTTCTCACAAGATTATCCTATAACATGCTCTAATTTCTACCAACACCATCAAAAAGCTTCCATTATATAATATTAGCATTGTATATTTATTCTGAAAGTACACAGAAGCAAACTCTGCAATAGACAAATAATCAGCCATTGCACATCTACGTAGCAAACATAATTAAGGCAAGAAAAATCACTCCTTTATATTGTCCTAAATAAAACCATTATGTATTTGTTCATTAGTTGAAACTTTTCATAACATA